GTGTCACAGGGGATAGAGGACTTGCCTAGCATGCATGCACCCCATAAACCAGGCACAACGGTGCACACCTGTAATCTCACACCTGGAGGTGGAAAAAGGGTGATCAGGAGAACACACAGTGAGTTTGAGGGCAGCCTGGGCTACATAAGACTCTGTTTCCGAAGGAAGAAAGGAAGGGATTACTGATATGCCTTTTGTCCTGACTTGGAAATCTAGTCTGAGTTATACACTCATATCTCCATGGAATCTTCCAGATGCTTAGTGGGTGCATTCTGTCAGTCTCTCTGTCTGCAACACAAGCTACATGAATACAGCGAGCTAGTCCAGCTTTCCCAGTGCCTGCCTGTGCATGAATGCAGCTGGTGCTCTATAAATGCCCTTGCAGGGCTGAGTGAGGTAGTGTGCATGTGCCACTCAAAAGTTTGAATCTCCGTTACTCACATTAAAGGAGAAAAAAACAAAACCAGCAGGGCTCAGCTGTGTCCACCTGTCACTCAGGATCTGGGGGTGGGGGAGAGAAAGCATCTCAGCTCCAGGCTCAATTAGAGATCCTGTCTCAAAGGATAAGGCACAGGGAGGCAGAGCAGGATACCTGAATCCTCTTCTGGCCTACCTAAACATGTGTGCAGGCACACACACACTCACGCACGCACACACATACACACACACACAGAGAAACATACACACACACACACACAGAAACATACACACACACACACACACACACGAAACCAATAAGACCTGAGCAGTAGTGGCACACGCCTTTCATCCCAGCACTCAGGAAGTGGAAGCAGGTGAATCTCTGTGAGTTTGAGGCCAGCCTGGTCTACAGAGCGAGTTCCAGGACGGCCTGGGTTACACAAAGAAACCCTGTCTTGAAAAAAAAAAAAAACAAAAGGATAAAAATAAAATAAAACTGGGGCTCCAGCAATGGCATTGCTCTTGTCCTGGAGTTTGGTTCCAGCGCCTAGCCCAGCTGTGCTGGGCCGCTCAGAGCTGTTTGTGAGTCCAGATGCAGGGTGTCCGATGCCTTCTTCTGTCCTCCACAAATACTCCAGAGTGCACACACAGACACACAAGTTAAAACACATCTTTAAGATAAAATAATGCTCCTGTCTGGTGAGCCGTGCCCCCTCTGTCCCTCCCTGGTTCTGGGCCTCAGAATTCCCGCACCTACATCTTTAGCCCAGCTTGAAAGGGATCCTCCAGACTCTTTATTGTCTGATTGTGTTTACGGCTCTTCCTTCCTCCAATGCAGACCTCAGGTCTGTTTATAGCGCTGGCTCTCCGGCCGTGTCCCTGGAGCCCAGCATGCATCTGGAGAAAATATCTGGCTCCCTCAAGGTCAGATGTTAGTGGGGGGCATGCTCCTGCGTGCACAGCTGGCCCTAACCCTGTCTGCCTCAGTAGTCTCGTATTGTGTTTCCGTCCCAGACAACTCTCTGTGTGCCATACCTCAAAGATGGCTTCGCCTTGTCTCGTTCCCTATTGGCACTGGATCAGGTTGGATGGTTGGAAGGGACTCCCTTCTCCATTCCCCAGCCTCCAGCACCATCCTATCTTACAGTGTGCCTGCCATAACTGACTGGCTCGGGTATCTGGGCATTTTTCTTTGACTCGGCTCCTTACTGCCCCCTGGAGGCTGTTCACAGTGGCCTCTTCTTTCATCCATGAAAGGAAAGGTTCTTGTCCAGAAGGGTTGTGAACAGATACGAACACTCTCTGATGATTGTAAAGTTAATGGGTTACTGGCAAATACTGACTGAGGAGTTTGGCCCAGAAACTGACAGGTGTAGCCAAGAAAAGGTGATTCCCCTTTATCCTGACCTCCTCCTAGCCTTGAACTTTCAGTCCGCCTGCCTCAGCGTCTTAAATGCTGGGATTATAGTTCCGTGCCACACATCCAGACTGTTGTTGGTTTGGGTATTTTCCTGTCACCTAACTCTTGTTCATTCTACAACACCCACCCGTAGTGTCTCCTCCTCCTGGAAGCCAACCCGGATAGACCCCCATCCCATGCGTGTAAGGGAGTCCAGCACTGTGTTTAGGGACTCAGGCACAGTGCTGGCATCAAACCTTGGCTCTGTAACAGCCTAGCTGTGTGTCCATGCTCCTGTATCCTTTTCCAGAATATGGCTCTCGGGGCCAATCCCACAGACTGTCAGCCTCAGAGATGCATGTAAACTGCCCAGCAAGCATCTGACAGAGAGCAAGCCTGGGCCATGCACGATGACCCTTTCTTAAGAACAGCCTGGGTGTGGTGGCACAGGTCTGTAACCCCAGCTCTGAGGAGGCTGGGATAAAAGTATTGAAAGTCGGAGGCAAGCCTGGGCTACGTAAGGGCATTCTTAAAAACGAATGAACAGGGGAAAAAATGGATGAGAGAAAACGATGTGGGGGAGGAAAAGCAAAAGGAAGAAGGGAGAGGAAGAAGGAAAGTGGAGGAGCGGGGGAAGAGTAGAGGAGGAGGAGAGCCGGCACTACGCACTGGCCAGGCTCTGGCCAAGATGGGCGCCCACACCACTACCCGCCCCGCCCCCTATCCCGGTGTAGCTCCGCCCCCAAGCGGGGTGGAAACCAGCTCCTGCTTCAGAACCTTCAAAGTCAACAGCTCCAGGCAAAACCGCACATCCGGGTGGAGGCAGGAGGTGCGGGTGCTGCCTAAATGGCAGGTCTGTAATTCTCTGAACCACCTCACCTGGCAGCCGGCCCCGCTGGACAGCACGGCATAGAGGAGCATTGCCTGCCACCCTGTCGGGTCTCACAAGACCAAGTAGGCCAGGGCAGAGGCAGCCAGAGAAGGATCTGGGCTCCCTGACGTTGGGGGCAAGGTGCATCTGTCCCCTGGGCTGTAGCTGCCTGTGTCATTGGGAGCCGTCACAGCCTCCTGCACCAACAGACACAAGTCCCAGCCACTCAGAGGGATGCAAGCACAGGTCTGCGCGGCAGGATGAGGCAGAGCCCAGTTGTGGGAGCACATCCAGCTTCCGTCAGAATGGCCTGGGGTTCCAAGGTTTCCCAGAGCTGTGAGACTGGGCTGGGTGTGGGCAGCAGCAAGCTTTCCTACAACACAGACCTTATAAGCCAGAAGCGGAAGGCTGAGGCTCAGAGGGACGAGACTGTTGGAAGCAGGCATCTTTAACTTCTCCCAGGCAGCAACACCCGGACCTCCTGTTTCAGCAGGTCTAGGGTTCCCACACCATCCCCAGGCCCCCCAGTTCTAAGCCTCCAGGGAGCGAGAGCCTGAGAACAAGGTTCACACAATGCTGCTCCTCTCATCCTAGGAAAGATGGAGGTGGAGTGGGCTGACCCACTGCCCAGCCACATCTGTCTTGTTCGCCTTCCCTCACCAAGGAGAAAGGCACAGGGGCAGAAGTCAGCGTCAGCCAGTCCAGTGTGAGGCTGAGAAGCACAGAAGGCCGCTGGCTCAAGGTATCCAGGGGTTAGTACCTGTTCCACACTCCTGGCTGTGGGCTCTGACCCCAACCGTGAGCTCTGGGCACCCACCAGCACTGTATGGCACATCCAGAGAATTTAAAAATGAGCACCTAGTCCCAGCAGCACCCCTACATAGGGAAAGGAGACGAGGAAAGCCTTGAAGCTGGTCTGCAATCTCCTAGTGGGCCCCGTGGCCCAGGGCTTTGAGCATGTGTTTTCTAAGAGAATCTCTCACAGGGACCTGGGGCTTGCTAATTTGGGTATCCTGGCTGGTTGGATACCCAGCACAGGCCACTGTGTTCTGTGCTTTGCATGAGTGCCGGGCATCAAACTCAGGTCCTCCTACTTTCAAAGCAAGCACCTTACTGATGGTACTACTTCCCCAAAGGGAGCTTCACCATGTCCCTCTGGGGAGGTGAGTGTGTGGGGTCTGCAGACTATGCACCCCCAGCAGCCAGCCAGGCAGGGGGTCTGGGCATGGCAGGTCCAGCAGGCTCACCCACTGGAACCTCTGTTGCCTTGGGCAGCCCCCTGCAGGCACAGCCAACCCTATCCTGCTAGTGAGCCATCTCTGTGTCCTGCTTGACCTTGGTATCCACCGCTCCCTCTCAGACTGTGCAGCCGTACCTGGGAAGAGGCAAAGCAGACCCTGGTCTCAGCCCTGCCAGGGCCTGGAGAGAAGAACAGTGGTGGAGTGGACCCCCAGTGACAGGATAAAAGGAGACACATGCTTGTTACACACTCATCTGTAGGCGTTAGCTCCAGGGCTCTGGGCCCCCAGCCTGGCTACACTGTGACCCAACTTCCCCCTTCGGAGATTCCCAGAGGCCCCCATAGCCACCCCCACAGACTTGGGCTTCTCTCCTCCGTCCTTAAGGTGGCCTCGAGGGCCCCAGTGGACCCTTCTCATTGGTTCAGCCTAAGAGGCAGCCGGCCAGGAGAGGCATGGGGGTGTGGGAAAGGCCCTCCCCATCTGTAGACTGGACACTGGAATGTGCTGAGCAGAGCCAGGCCTAATCCCCATTCATCCCCTTGAGGCTACTGAGCCACTGCAGTGGGGCAGCCCCGGGGTGGGGGGACTGGAACGGGGACATATTCCCACTATAGTGGATAGTGGGTGGATGGTCAGACAGAGACCATAAGGCCAGCCAGGGTTCCATAGGAGGGCATGCCTTATTCACTCTTTGAGACAGATGGGTCAGTTTGAGGCTCTGGAGTATTGGAGTTGGGGGAACCCTGGTTACACTGTTCCTACAAAGATGGGAGACGTGTCCCCAGATGTGGGCAAGACCCTGAAGTCATGGTGGCAGAGCCAGACAGACCTGAGAAGTATGTTGAGAAGACCCATGTATCTCCTGAGGATGAACCCAGGGCAAGAGCTCTGTCACTAAGCCATGTACCCAGCCCCCTCTGCAGCAGGGGTAGCCTGAGGGGGGAGGAAAAATGGGGCACAGAGGTTCATGTGACCCAGACAAGGCCCCTGGAGGTGGGGCTCCTGTGCCCCGCCCCAGCGGGTTCAGCTATATCTCCAGCTTCCTCACCCTCCCCAGTGGCTGAGGGCAATGGCGTTGCAGGTGGGTGAGACCCACAGCCCAGGGAGGGGACAAATGCTAGAGAAGGAAAGGTGGGGCGTCCCGCAGGCCGGCTACTCCTCACTATAGAGCTGGGGAACATTTACAGCTTCTCTTCAGACCCTAAGCAGAGAGGCTGTGGGGGTAAGGTTAGGCCCACCCAACCCAGAGCAACAGGTAGAAGCCTTGGGCTTGGTGGGGGCCGGGGTCCCTGAATAATTAGCACATTTGCTCTGTCCCCTGTGTTTTGCCTTCAGTTCGAAGCCTTCTGTGCAGGCGGCCTGGCCCCTGGCTGGAGCCTGACGGTACAGGGACATGCAGATGCTGGAGAAGATAAGTAAGATCCCTCCTCCTCGGGGATGGGGCAGGGACCCTCCGGCCACGCTCCTGAGCCTGACCACACCCCCGCCCACAGGTTTGAGATCAACTTCTTAACAGATGCAGGAGACATCGCCTTCCACGTCAAACCTCGATTCTCCAGCGCCACGGTGGTGGGCAATGCCTTCCAGGGAGGACGATGGGGACAGGAGGAGGTGTCCAGCGTGTTCCCGCTGGCCCTGGGAGAGCCCTTTGAGGTGATGGGGCCTGTGGGGAGGAAGGAGGAGTAGGGGTGAGAGAACCGAGGTCCATGAAGAAGGGACTGTGATGGATACGTACATGGGTTGGTGCGTCCTGCTGGGCCCGAGTGGCCTTCTTTTCCTCAGTTTCTGAGTTTGTTCACAGGGTGCTTCTCTCTCTGACTACCAACTACCCTCATTTGGAGAAAAGAGGGATCCCCAGCTGGGAACTCAGGGTCAGGTGGTCCATACTGTGCTTTGCCAAGTAGCCAGTGTTGTGTTTTATAAAATGTGGAGGCATAACGCAGCAGGAGGGAGCACCTTGGAGGGCCTGGCCAGTGTGTCTCCCTGAGGAATCACCACCATGCGACAGGCCTAGTACAAAAAGGAAGTTTATTGAGAGAAAGGAGGGAGATGTGGAAAGGGGGCAGAGGCAGAGAAAGGGGGCAGAGAAGAACAGAAAGACAGAGGAGAGAGGGAGAGAGAAAGAGGCTGGCCAGGAACATGTGGAAAAGAGAGAAGAGGGGGAGAAGAGAGGGACAAGAGAGGGACAAGAGAGAGAGACAGAGAGACAGGGAGGAGCCAAGCCGAATAGATAGTCCTGGCTCACACTTGGCAGACAGAGCCACAAGCTGTTGCTAGGTAGCTGTTGGGTGGAGCCCAGAGAAATGGCTAACAGCCAGGATGGCCTCTGTGTCTGGGACCCAGCGACACCCCCCATTTTCCCTTCCCCTCAGATGGAGGTGAGCGCAGACGCAGAACACTTTCATATTTACGCCCAGGAACAAAAGGTACTCCAGTTCCCACATCGTCACCGACCGCTGGCCACCATCACCAGAGTGAGAGTGCTCAGTGACCATCGGCTGGCCCAGGTGGAGCTGGCCAAGCGGAGCCTGAGCTGGGGGTAATGTACCCGCTGTGCCCGCCTACACCTTGCACATCTGTTTCCCTCCCTCACCCCCAGTTGTCCACATCTGGTCAGAGCAAGCAGAGCTAAAACTGGAACCTTGTGTTCTTGCAGGGATGGGGGCTACTGAGTGGACTGGACCACACAGCCTGCCAGAGCCAGCCTTGGCTGTCCTGTATCTCCTGCCACCTGGAGCCACACACTATATATTATAGATGCTGGGAAGCTGAGGCTCTGTGTGAACCCCTAACCTTACCTTCAATAAAGTATGAGCAGGTTACGGTCCTGGCTGCTGTGGACGTGGGGACGTTCTGTGGGGCTGTGATAGCCACAGATGTGCTAACCAGGGCAATGGGCTTCCTGAAATCAATGCCCTAGGCATTGCCCAGTTCTTCCTCTTGTCCCTAAGACCCCAGGTGCTGACCAGTCCCTCCCCTTGTCCCCAAGACTCTGGCTGGAGTCTGAGGTTGTATTTCAAAGGACACTGAGTCTCTGACACTGGAATGACTGTCATGGGGCGGCACATGGTAGACAGGAGACTGGTGGAGTCTTCAGTGCCTTTTGGCACAGGGCTCAGTCTGGCCCATCTAAGACATCATTTCAGAAGCTCCGAGAGTTTCTGGAAGCTTCCTCCTCCCCCTGCTTCCCCTTGGAGTCCTTCCTGTTTCCTCTGGTCCCACCTGGAAGGGAGACGTGCTTCTGTCCCTGTAGTCTTCTGTGTGTGCGTGTGCGCACATGTGCGTGCATGTGTGTGTGTGTGTGTGTGTGTGTGCATCTGTGTGTGACAGGCACAGGGCAGTGGGAGGGAGGGAGGACCCTGAGGACCACTGATAGGAACTGGGCTCAGCCTTCAACCTCTGCTCTGCTTCCACAAACTCTAGACTACCAGGGAGGAAAGCTCACTCCTGCCCCAGAGAGCCAAGCCTTCCAGCCACTGCTCGGATGCTCCCTGAGTCAGGCCAGGCGGCCACAGAGGCTCACCGATAGGAATCCTGATAGTTTCCTATGAGTGCAGGTTCACACACCAGAACAGGACCTGTGTCTTGCTCTAACACTCTCTGCCCTACTGCTTTGAGAACGGGTTTCTCACTGAACTGGAACAAGGTTGCTGTTTTGGCTAAGGTCTCTTACCGGCAAGCTCTGAAGGTCCTTTCATCTCTGCCCTGCTGTGCTGGGGTTATAGCCATTGACAGCTTTTTATGTTGGTGCTGGGATTTGAACTCAGGTCTTCATGCTTGCAGAGCAATTGCTCTTAACCACTGAGTCCTCCCCCAGACTATTAGCTGTCTTTGTTCTTTTCAAGTGTCTGTCTGTGTGTCTGTGTGTCTGTGTGTCTGTGTGTCTGTGTGTCTGTCTGTCTGTCTGTCTGTCTGTCTGTCTGTGTGTCTGTGTGTCTGTCTGTGTGTCTGTCTGTCTGTGTGTCTGTCTGTCTGTCTGCCTGCCTGTGTGTCTATCTGTCTGTCTGTTGTCTATCCGTTTCATCATCTAGCTGTCATCTGCGTATCATCTCTCATCTGTAAATTATAACAGCTATCTATTATCTCTCTATTTTTATTTTGAGACAGGGTTTCTCTGTGTAGCCCTGGCTGTCCTGTAACTCACTCTGTAAACCAGGCTGGCCTTGAACTCACAGAGATCCTCCTGCCTCTGCCTCTGCCCCCTGAGTGCTGTGCACCACCGCTTCCTGGCTTACTTATCTAGCTTGTTTTAAGTCCGATTATTTATCATCTGTATCTCTTGTCTATAGCCATCATCTTCTTATAAGTCTATAGTCTATTTTATGTTTGTCTGTCTGCCTCTGTCGTCTATCTGTCTGTCTGTCTGTCTACCTACCTTTCCACTGGGGAACACACTGAGCCCCACTCTGCCCCAGGGCTCCCTCACCGCCTCAGAAGGCACTGGGTGGGAATGTGACCTTTATAGGTGAGTTCATGTGAAGAAAGTACTTAGTCAGTACTGACGGGGCAGGGAGTAGAGAGTGAAGCCACTTAGAAATGGTAGCTCAGGTTGAGTCTGAGCCCTGGTTTACTCTATAAGAAACCCCGGGCCTCTGTCAATGAGGTTGCAGGTAAGAGACCTTAGCCAAAACAGCAAGCTTGTTCCAGAGTGCCGTAATATTGAACTGAAGTCAATTCAGGTACTGAGAGGGACAGATACACTCAAGTAATCTCTGAGGCAGTGGTTCTCAAGCTATGGATTGAGAGCCCCACTAGGGGGCTGAAAGACCCTTTCACAGGGGTCGTGTATCAGATATCCTGAATATCAGTTACATTTTGGTTTGCAACAGTAGCAAAATTGAGTAGCAACAAAATAAGTTTGTGTTTGAGGGTCATCTCAACATGAAGAACTGTATTAAAGGGTCACAGCGTTAGGAAGATTGAGAACCACTGCTCTAAGGTTATAGTGGGGAAACTGAGGCTGAGACAGAAAGCCAGCAGGAGCGAGGAGGGACCATCCCTCTGGAGCCAGGGAGGCACCTAGGGTCCACAGCTGGGCAGGGTTTAGAGAGCTGCTGGCGCCAACCCCCAGGTGGGACAATGGCAGCCAGCGTACAGCTGTGCTGCTTCCTGTCTCTGCTTACTTCCCTAGCCTATGTTCTGACCCAGCTGGCCTGGGGCCCCTTCCTGCCTCCCTTTAGGAGTTCTGGCCTTTGTGTCAGCCACAAGGGGTTGGGGGCTGTCTACAATGTGTCCCGGACAGGCTTTGGCTTTGGTAACATGTCAGGAGGGTGGAAGGAGCCAGCTCCTATAGAGGTGAGGTGTGTCGTCAGACTGCCTGGCTCCTGAGGCTCTGAGATGGATCTGGCTGCTTGCTCAATGTCCCTGGGCCTCAGTTTCCCCACAGTGCGAAGCACTGCCTCTTCAACAACAGGACAGTGTGAGCATCAGAAAATGCTTATATCTCACAGGGCGGAGAAGCCTGGGGACAGGCTCACAGTGGGACAACACTAATCCCCTAAAACCAAGTAAAAATTGGGTGCTTGACATATATTCTTCATCCTGGCACTAACTAGTGAGGTGGAAATGTGCCGACCTCTGACATTCGCTGGCTGGCCAGATTAGTCTATCTGTTGAGTTACCCAGGGAACTCTAAAAGATGGAAGATATCCCACGGCACAGCACCTGAAGCTCTGGTCTCCACATGTATGTGAACACATGTGCACACACCTGCACACCCATGTGCACCGTACACACGTGAAGAGGGGGAGAAGCCAAGGTCCACATTCAGGTGTGCATCTTCTTGCTTGTGGGACAGATCCACGGGGACTAGGGGCTCTAAAGCCTCAGCAACTTACCCAGAGGTTAGGTGACTTGCTCAAGGTTGCTCAGAAGGGAGAAGAAATCTGGACCTGATGCACATACCTGTGACTTTGCTCAATGAAGTGTGAAAGTACTCATCTGTGTAAGAACACCCACATGCGTGCACACATACCCATGTGTACATGTGAAAACACATCCATGCACACATACCTATGTGCATACCCCTTTCTGTGCCTCCACCCCAGGCCTCAGTTAGAGGCACCTGTGCATGGAAGATTACAGAAGGGTTAACCCCACTACACGGGAGGGAGGCCCTGAGTGTCTTTAGAATGGAGCGCAGACAGCTACGATCCCAAAGCACCCTGCCCCATTCCCTCACTATCACATCTACTGTGGCTGCCGCTGTCTTCAGCTCACAGCATGGGCTGAGCACTGCAGCCAGGCCAGCTGAGTAACCCATTTCCTTGGCTGGAATGACACCTCATCCAGGAAGCCTCCCCTGATCTCCAGCCAGCTCCTGCAGCCTGGGCGTTCTCCGAGCACCACCGTCATCCCCATCCCAGCACCTTGTTTACAGGTCAGAGACCAGGTCTCAGCCCAGCTGCAGCCCAATTGCACTAAACTCTGGAAGTCTTGAGAGTCAATAAACTGAAGACTTCCCTGGAGGAAATCATTAAACTTTGAACAAATTACAGTCCTCTCCTGCCTAGTTTACAGGCCACAGGTCTAGAAACATTTATTGCGCACAACTGGAAGGCACCCGGTGCCTTTCCCCTGTGTCTCTGTGTCTCTGTGTCTCTGGCTCTGTGGCTCTGTGGCTCTGTCTGTCTCTCTCCCTAGATGTACCCCAGGACCTTTGCACCAGCCATTCCCTGCACTTTCCTTTGTATCTCTTAGCCTGGTTGGTTTCCCTCACATCATCACAACCTTTCAGAGACACATCTAGGATAGGGCATGCCCTCCTGTCCCCTCTCCCTGTATTCCAGCCCCTTTCTCAAGCCCTGAGGCCAATGAGTAAAAGGCTGACCAGCAGAGGGAATGTAAACCGGGGCCTGCCTCACCTTCTAGGTCAGGTTGCAAAGATGCACTTTTGGCTTCTAGGCACACACCTTTGATCCCAGCACTCAGGGAGGACAGAGATGAACAACTCTCTGAGTTGGAGGCCAGCCTGGTCTACAGAGTGAGTTCCAGGACTGTCAGGGCTACAGAGAGAAACTCTGTTTCAAAACACCAAAACCAACCAAACAAAAAAGATGACCTTTCAACACCAGGACAGAGCCAAACTGTGTTCCTGGGCCCCAGGCCTGTGGCGCCGACAGAACCAGCAAGTAGAGCTGAAGGGTGTTGACCCTGCCTGTTCTAACCACCGTCAGGACACACCTACACCTGCTGGGAGCCTCCCTTCTTCATTCATTTGCTTATTTGGAGACCCAGTCTCATTCCATAGCCCAAGCTGGCCTTGAATTCACAGCCGTCCTCCTGCCACTGCTTCTTGACTTGTGGGAGGTTGAATTGTGGGAGGATTTCCTGGCAGCACCACACCTGACTCAGTTTTTCTTTAAAACAAGCCGCTCCGAGGATAGACGTGGACAGTGCCCAGCAAGGCCAGTGAGCACAGACTGCACGTGTCATCTGCCTCCACCCCACCATGACAGCCAAAGGTTAGGCCAGCTGTACTCTTTCAGGCCTGAGGTCACCAGACCCCAGCAGGGCCCTGAGTTCCCGTTTTGGACATAGTAGTTGTGCCAGTCGGCTTACAGCTTCCTGTGGAGCCTGGCTTCTGTTTGCATTTAACTGGATCCAGTGGGCACCGTGGGACTGTGCCTGAGGACCATGGGACAGCCTCTCAACATGGCACTCTCTGAGGAGAGTGAAGGAAAACCAGAACTCTGGCCTAGGGTCAATGCCATGCGGTGACCCTTCTCCCCCAACCTGTCCTCTCTGGTTGCCTTGGATTCGAGCATGACAAGTGAACAGAGACTGGGGAAGACATAGCAAATCAAACACGTAGGACA